TTTTTTTTTTTTTTTTTTTGCGGTAGGCGGGCCTCTCACTGTTGTGGCCTCTCCTGCAGCGGAGCACAGGCTCTGGATGCACAGGCTCAGTGGCCATGGCTCACGGGCCCAGCCACTGAGCGGCACGCGGGATCCTCCCGGACCGGGGCACAAACCCGCGTCCCCTGCATTGGCAGGCGGACTCTCAACCACTGAGCCACCAGGGAAGCCCTAATCTTTAAATATTTTATTATAGGGTTTTTTTTTTTTTTGGTATCATAAAATGAGTGAAAACGTCACTCCTGGATCAAAGGGTATAAACATTTTAAGGTACTTAAGATATATTGAAAACTATTTTTTCAGAAAGACTACCAGTAATCTATGAGTGCCAGAGCCAGCAAAATTTTTAAGCAGAAGAATGAGAAAAAAAGTTGAACATTAGAAGAGTGTAACTCAGTGAAAGAAAAATTGAAAACTAAAAGCTATTGAATATGAAATGGGTTTCCTAAGAGATTTTCACTGAGTTTATGATTAAGTTTGTGAGTTTATTATTAAGAAGACATGCAAGAAGAGGATGCAAGACCGTTTGGTTCGAAGGACGTTCAAACATCAGATGAGATTTGCACTACATGATGATGATGTAGATAGTGAAAAGTATTGTCCTTGAAATCAAATCATCATCTGCCATCATCAACATCATCGTCATCAAGACATGGGGGTGAGAGTGGGAATGACCATTTCTGGAACACTCATTTCATGTCAAGTTCTGTATTAGGCACTAAAACACTATCTTACTTATTTACAACCACATGTGATATAGGTATTAATATCATCTCAGTTGCATAGGTAAGAAAACAAGATTTTCCAAGTTAAGAAATTGTTCAAAGATCACTCATCAGTCAAACAGTAGCACTGGTTGCCACCCCAATCCAGTGATACAGCACATGAGCTTGACCGTGGTATTATACTGTCTCTTGGTATAGACAGCTTCTAAGAACCCCATTTACATATGATTTCATTATTCTATACACAGCTTTTCGGTAGGTAGAACATCTTAAAATATGTGAGTTTTTATAGACTAAAAAGTTTGAAAGACATAACCTTAAATTTTATATAATAATTTTCTATTTTATTCTGTTAAAGTAAACTCATTTTTGTACCCCTCCTACAACTTTTCTTTCTATTCTCTTCTCTCCTAAACTTCTAAGTTCAATATAGCAATGGGCTAGAACCCCTATACCCACCCCACGTATAGCTTGAGGGGAGGAGATAAATGCACTGTGCAACTTCCCCATTTCTGTAGGCCTGGGACTAGTATGTGCTCCATAAATGCTGCTTTCCCTTCTCTTGTCACTTCACATTAAGTTATGCAAAAGCACCATCTAGTTCCAGCATCATGGGAAGCAAGGGAAGATGCCTCTCTGAAGAAGTAGGGATCTGCCACTTTTGTCCAAAATGATATTTTGGGATGAAAGGTCTCCTAGCACTCATGCATTCAATCTATCTACTAGTAGCTTCTGTCAGAAATCTGTAGCTGTATTTTGCAATTATAAAGATGCCTACTACACTGAAATGGGATTTAAATATACAGTTTTATGGCATTAAAGCCCTTAACTTTACAAGTTTCTGTGCTAACGCATTCAAGTAGAATTACTAGGGACAGGGTGGTCTTTGGATGTAATGGTAGAATATTTAATTTAGTGTGTCGTTTTCAATCTATTTCCTGAGTGTCATGACACTTTACCACTTAGAAGCTATGCATCCATGTAGTTAAAGCTAGAGAATCCCAGGGCTTTCATTCAATTCCCAGATGGGAGTTTGTATAGAGATGAACATTTTCTCATTAATCTATCTTCCTAAGAGATTGCTATCACACTAATCAGTTTGTAGTGACTTTACCAAGTTTGCAACCTTCAATAATGAAATGGATACTGTATCGAACATGGTGTGGATTGCTTAAACAATCTCAGCTCCTCTCGGATCAATGAGACACAAAACCAAAATGAAGTCAAGTGTTGCTTCATTAGTTATCCTCACTTAGAAGAGCTGTGTAATCTTGTTCACTGGACGCTGATCTCTTTTTAATGGGAAAAACAGAAGGAGACACCCCATGAAAGAGAAACAGCTGTGATCCATGGCAAAGTGATAGTGCAGATAATTCTACAGAGAAGAGTCTTCCAGAGGTGGCATGTAAGCAATGGTCAGGTAACGTCAGAAAACAACAACAACAACAAAACAGTAAGCTGAAGCTGCCAGAGTAGAGAATAGAAAGCTACTACATGTGAGGTTCTCATAAGTATCATGTGAGGCTATGATTCAAGAAGCATGGCAAATTCTACTGGTTACATGCTCACCAATCATTCCCTCTACCGTCTTTGCTCCAAGAACCCCAATTTTGTTCAGGAGACAATAATCCCTGTGTTTGAGGGAAGGAGAGCCCTACAGACAAAATTCCTAGCTTCTAATCTTGTTCTTTCACCTTACTGAGAAGTTTGGATTTTATTCTAGGTACAATGGGAAGTTAACAGAGAATCCTTTGCAAAGGGGTGGAGAGACTTCATATTTGAAAAGGCTACTTTGGCTACAATTTGGATGATGAGGCTAAGAGTGAAAGGCAACAGAGACAGAAGAGGTTATAGCAATGGTGCAGGTGAGAGAGGATGGTGGCTTGAACTGGGGGGTGACGTGATAGAGAAGAGTGGATGGATGTGCGTACACGTTTCAGGTAGAGGCCACAAGACTTTCTGGTGGATGTTAACATATATGCATATGTGCATGTCTTCTTTTCTTCATTTAGAACACATTTATTTTGTTATCAGAAACATATAAGGCTAAAAGCTTTATGCATTTATTTTTTGAAAGGAAAAATACTTTCTGAAGAACAATGAAAAAGTAGTGAATTTTAACCCTTTAATTTTCTTTAAACAAGGATTTGAAAGCCTTGGATTTAACTCACTGCTTTTTCAATATTAAAGTAAGTTTTTCATGATCGGCATTACTTTTTAAGCTTCTAATCAAGTGTATCTTTGACTTGGGATCAGATGACTACTGATTTTCAGATAGGCTGGCTGACATATTTTCTAAGAGTCCGGTTCCTGCATATGGGCCTAAGAGATATACCAGGTACCCTTTTTCAAGTCTTCTAAGTCACATGTCTCAATTCCTTTATATGACTATGATTCTCCACCAAGGAAACGTATTTCGGGATATTTTACTTAACACATATCAACTATTCTACCCATGACCTTAAAATCTGCTCTCTTGTACCATATGAAATCTAGCCTGAGCATTTACACACTTATGGAAATATCGCTAATATAGGTTAGAGGGGTTGGCAAACTACAGCCTGCAGCCTATTTTTTCTGTGGCCCTTGAGATAAAAATGGGTTTTACATTTTTTTTTTTTTTTTTTTCCTTGCGTTATGCGGGCCTCTCACTGTTGTGGCCTCTCCCATTTGCGGAGCACAGGCTCCGGACGCGCAGGCTCAGCGGCCATGGCTCACGGGCCCAGCCGCTCCGCGGCATGTGGGATCTTCCCGAAACGGGGCACGAACCCGCGTCTCCTGCATCGGCAGGCGGACTCTCAAGCACTGCGCCACCAGGGAAGCCCGGGTTTTACATTTTTAAAGAATTATAAAAAAGAAGAAAAATAAAAGCTGAAAATATTTACAGAGAAAGATCCAACACCATAAGAAAGAAATGACCAGTCCAAATTAGTGAGATAAACTAGTTTAATACTAGTTTATAATAATACTCTTGGTACTTTAAGCCAATATGCTACGGGTTTCCCCATTAAATTTCATAATCACTGATTGGGTAGCTGAAATAATTTGCTCTTCTTGCTGATCTTAACATCATGTCTCCCTCCCTTTCACCAGGCACAGAAGAAAGTAAACTTACTGGCAATTCAGCAGTTGCACTCAGTTTAATGCAATTCAGTAGTTTAGATAGCACTCAGATAAAATTACCCACTGCATCAAGTTGCTGAATTTCATTAATTGCATTCATCGATGCACACAATACAAATGATGCTTTGGGGAACTTCCATGTTATTCTTTGCTCACAGGTGGATGCGAACCAGTCCCAGGCAGAGCAAATACATTAATAATACTTTTCAACCAGCATACTTCACCACCCCACCAAAAAGCAAAATTGAAAGCCAAAGAACAACCAACCCCAAAATATACTCAAAAACAAAAATTAATTTTGATAATACTGGTTAATAAAATCAAGGTGTCTAGGAATCACTTCCATCATGACTTTAAAAAAAAACAACAGAATGAGAGAAGGAGCTTTGGTAGGAGGCTGTGGGTTAACAGAGAAGCTTTAGAATTGGATTTCCTGAGTTGAAATCCTTGCTCTACTGATTCATAAGAATGTGGCTTTGGACAAACTACTTCTCTAAGCCTCAGCTCTTCAATGTGTAAAATGAAGGCAACAATCATCACCAGCCCAGTGGACTAATCTATGAATTACATTAGATAATGATAATCCGTCAAAGCAGCAAAGTGCATGGGACAGAGCACACACTCTACTGTGATCATTTAGATACCATTCTGAGCATAGTTGTAATATATTAAATTGATTCTAATCAACCTTGGCTACACTGTCCAAATTCTTCATAAAAAATAAATTTCTAGCTCTTTAGGACTATTTCTAAAGATGCCTTTGAACTACTTGGCAATTAAAAGCAATAGCAAGACTTCCTTGGATTTGTATAGTACTGAAGGCATTTCCGCATTTATTTTCTTGTTTTCTTTGCAGCACAATCTAGAAAGTTTGTTAATAAAGGTTATCACCTGCTATTTGGCAGGGATGGAAAGAGGCGCAGAGAGGTCATCTCATTTGCTACAGTGCCACGGTGGTGATTACACTCAAGATTTCATATTCCAAAGCATCTCACTTACCTGCATTGCCACCCCTGCCCCCAACCTTCTGTACTCAGCCAACAGCAAGATAATTTCCCCCAGATTTAGATTCCAGAGAAAGAACAATTCCTTCTTCTTGCAACAGAAACTTACTGGTCGGGACTGGATTTCTTTGGCGTAAAGAGGTTGCAAGAATTCGGAGTCTCCTTCTAGCTTTAGACCTTTTTCTGTGATTCTCAAGTTTCCCATTCCATCCTGAAAGAGAGGCACAGAGATAACACGAAAAATTCGATTAGCCCAAATTTCAAAATACCTTAGGTTTTCAAAAATTGAAACAAAATTATTGCCTTTTTTTTTCTTTTTTGAGAAGGTAGAATGAGGGGGCTCCAAATGAAGACATGATATACTAGGAGGCATTTTTCAGTGTGATTATGAATATTATCCTCTTTGTTCACTTATTCCGAGAAAATCTATTCCAAGCAGTCTTGGAAAACTGAGCAAATTCTCCAAAGAAGCAAAATGTAAGTAATGCCCTCTAGCCATTCACTAGCACAGATGAAGAAGACCCTTTTGACTAGGCAGTGGCGAGAGACTGGAGGCAGGAGATGAGTGGGGAAAAGAGAAAAAGATGATTTCCCAGGTTAAAGTAAAAGGTCCGATTTCTGAAACTATGCAGAAATGACAAACTGGCAGTCTGTTGGTCTAATTCAACCTTTGGACATGGTGTCTTTGGCTCACAAAATATTTAAGGAGCCAAATTATTTACTAATATTTTTATTAATATTTTATTATACAAATATTAAAATACATACAAAAGGATATGAAAATAGAAAGGATAAATAGCAAACACCTATGACGTTGTCATTCATCTTTAACAATTATCAATTTATGGCTACTCTTTACTTTAGCTACTACACCCACCTCCTTTGGTTAAATATAACCATAATGACATTACCACACCAAAAAAATAAATAAAATCGTTAATAAATATTATCAAATACCTAGTGTCAATGTTCGAATCTCAATATTTTTCTCTTTATCTCTGCTTGTTTGAATCAAGTTCCCTACTGCAACTGGTTGATATGTAAAATACTAGGTCATCTCCTTAAATCTCCTCAGTCAGTCAATTTCTCTCTCACACATCCACACACATAAACATGCTTTGATAAATAAAACATCACTTTTCCAATAGCACTTCCCACAGTTTAGATTTGCTGAACATTCCCATACTTTCATGTCATGTGTTCTCTGTCCCCTGTATTTTGTGTAAGTCAACAGATCAAGAAGCTTGATAAGATTCAGGCTCAGTTTTCTAGAAAGAATACATCCTAGAATGGAATATATTAGTTTTCTATTGCTACCATCACAAATAACCACAAACTCAACAGCTTAAGACAGCACAAGTTTATTATCTGTATGTTAGAAGTCAGACCCAGGGCTCAAAGGGGGAAAAGCAAGGTGCCAGCGGGGCTGCTACACTCCTTTAAGGAGGCTCTAAGGCAGAACCTATTTCTTGACATTTTCTGGCTTCTAGAGGCTGCCCACATTCCTGGGCTTGTGGCGCCTTCCATATTCAAGGCAGCAATGGTCGGTTGAATCTTTCTCACATCCAGTCACTCTGACAATGAACCATCTGCCTCCCTCTTTCACTTTTAAGGACCCTTAAATTTCACTGGGAACACCAAGATAATCTCTCTATTTTAAGATCACCTGATTAGCAACCATTATTCCATCATAAGCTTAATTTCCCTTTGCCATGTATTGTAACACATTCACGGGCTCTGAGAAGAGGACATTGATGTTTTTGGAGTGGGGGGCATTTTTCTGCCTACCACATGATCGATCAGGATGCACTGAACATCTTTTGCTGTGATGTCATCAGCAACTGGTGATCTCTGCCTAGAGGATCTGTTAGTTCACTAGAGATTTCAAACTGGTGATAAAATAATTATTTCTTCTTAATTTATTAGCTGGGATATTCTATCAAGAGAAATTGCATGTCATCAACTATATGTTTACCCTAAATTATAGTCTACATAGGAACTTGATAGATGCTTGATTTTTTCCTCCTTTATTGATTAATAAAGGGCCTTTGGGTCTTTGTTGCTGTGAGTGGGATTTCTCTAGTTGCCTTGAGCGGGGGCTACTCTTTGTTGTGGTGCATGGGCTTCTCACTGCAGCGGCTTCTCTTGTTGCAGAGCACGGGCTCTAGGTGCGCGGGCTTCAGTAGTTGTGGCTCGCGGGGTCTAGAGCGCAGGCTCAGTAGTTGTGGCGCTCGGGCTTAGTTGCTCTGTGGCATGTGGGATCTTCCTGGACCAGGGCTTGAACCCGAGTCCCCTGCATTGGCAGGCAGATTCTTAACCACTGCACCACCAGGGAAGCCCTTTTGTTGTTGTTGTTGTTGTTGTTGTTGTTGGGGGGATGGGAGAACGCTTTATCAGAGGGAGTAAAGTGCAGGCAGCAACTCAGGCACTTGGTCTGGACGCAGACCAATTTGAAGACTTGGTCTTCAACATACTGAACTGGTTACCTAATATTCTCCAAAAATAACCCATGAGGTTTTTATTTTTAAAAATATCATTATGAACATTTTGATTTGTTCATTCCAGTGCAGTTTTTATTCCTATTGAAATTCTAACTGTTCTATTCCTGCTCACTGGGGGCCTCTTCAAGTCCTTTTATTATGACCCAGTAGGCTTTAACGGCCCTCTTGCTTCTGGCATGGCAAGATGTTCCAGGGTTATCTTACATATGTCCTGCCCCAGGCCTGGAACTAGCCATTTCTTATAAGAACTTGGGTTCATTTTAGTGGGAAATGGTACTTAGAGACCACAAGCTGAGAGCTTGGGGTGCTCCTTGCTACTGGATTGGCCCTTGTTTATGTGAACAGAGCTAGAAAATAAATTGTATATATGTTTTAAGTGGAATATACCATAAGTTCACATGAAATTCCAATTCAAACTCAGGCCTTGAAGGTTTTCATTTAGCCTCATGGATCTTACAATGTTATTACCTTTCTTCCATACCAAAAAATCCCTGTTTTTAATAACACCAATATGACTACTACTACATTTGATTTAACCCACAAGACACAAAGAGCAGGGTCAGAAAAACCAATGCCACTACCATACTAACAGTATGATTAAGAAAAACAATTTAAAATTTGTCTTTAAAAAAAAATCTTGAGTATGAACTATTAGGAAGGTAGAGTCAAATGGCTGAGTTTTAAAGTCGTTTGAAATAATTCTGTTCTGAATGGTCATGCCACCAACCTCATGTCCAGTTAGGTTCAATTATTTCATCCGTCACCCCCCCACACACTTCAGTGTTCCATGACTGCTTTTTTAGTCTTATGTTTTGTTATAAGTTTGCAAACTATTTAGATGGAACCAAAGTCAAATCTATAAAACTATATTCAAAGAAGCCTAGATTCTGTCCTTGTTTCCCCATGTTTGTTTTTTTTTTAATTAATTAATTTATTTATTTTTTGGGTCTTCGTTGCTGTGCACGGGCTTTCTCTAGTTGTGGCAAGCGGGGGCTACTCTTCGTTGCGTTGTGTGGGCTTCTCATCGCGGTGCCTTCTCTTGTTGCAGAACACGGGCTCTAGGCACATGGGCTTCAGTAGTTGTGGCGCACAGGTTCAGTAGTTGTGGCTTGCGGTCTCTAGAGCACAGGCTCAGTAGTTGTGGTGCATGGGCTTAGTTGCTCCATGGCATGTGGGATTTTCCTCGACCAGGGCTCGAACCTGGGTCCCCTGCACTGGCAGGCGGATTCTTAACCACTGCGCCACCAGGGAAGTCCCATCCCCATGTTTTTTCTTCTCCAAATAAGTGTGTGTGTGTGTGTGTGTGTGTGTGTGTGTGTGTGTGTGTGCGTGCATGCGTATCTGTATCAGTAAGGGTTCTCCAGAGAAAGAGAGCTAATAATATGTCTGTGTATTTATGTATGTATGTATGTACACACACATGCATGCACACACATTTATTCATTCATTTTACGGAATTGGCTTAGGAAATTAGGGAGGCTGACAAATCCCCGGACCTGCAGTCAGCAAGCTGGGGACTCAGTTTAATTAAATGAATCATATATTATATATATATATGTGTGTGTATATATATATGATTTAAAATATATATAAATATATAAGGCAATATAAAATATAATAAATATATAAAATACATTTACAAATTTATTCCTACATTTTCCCCAAAACATTTGAAACTGAAAAGATCTGAATGAAAAATCCAGGCTTTCAGCATCTCATGACAACTGAAAGCCACGGCCAGTCTGAGCCTGCCTTCTCACGTGGCCACCATTGGCTGGAGGTAAGTAGCAGCCTGAACCATATGCTCTCTAGCTCACCACAGTTTTCACCCAACCTATTTCACTAAGCTACATTTTCTCAGACTCCTGAAGCTTCTCACTTGAGTCTATCATGTCTTCTCTCCAGCACTGCCATGTGCTCTGTACCTCAATACATTCAGTATAGACACAACATGGCTGGGGCGGGGGAGGGGCTTTGAATGACCAAGTGGAGAATGAGCATTTTCCTCCATTTTCCCTTTATAACAGCACTTCAGCCTATGGATGAGAACAGAACTTTCCAGTTAATATTGTTGTTTCATGGATAGCAGGCCATCTATATACTTCTATTTTTGTTACTTGTGGGGACATTTCTGCCAAGAGAGCCCTAAACTGGGCATTTAAACCTAGTGTGAGGGGAAGTATGCTGGAGGGCATGTCCATATCACAGTAGCAGCAGGTAGTACCCACAACAGTGGGAAAAATATCCACCCAGCACCCCCCCACACACACAAAGGCTATGCCAATTATTATGTTTTGGGTTATTCTTGATGATTTCCATTAGTTGGACCAGCAGATCTTTTCACAGAAATGTAACAGAGAAGAACAAACTTGACTCCATATTGAATCTATTCCTTTAGCTCTAACCCTTGTGCTCTGTTGCCTGTGCTTAGACCTGCTGGCTCTGCACCTTTGTAAAAGAATGTTGCCTACAGCCTGAAATATATGGGGTAGCCCATTCTCAAGGCTCTGATCTCTAAAGCTATAACACTTTTCCATTCATATAAAGATAAAAAGTTGCAGAACAGAAAATAACAATTGTCTTGATAGAGGTTTATAGGAACATGGTGAACAGACCCACATGGACAGCTGCAAGAACAAAGGATTCCTGCATCAAAGTTTGCAACAAGCAGCCACACTCCCTTCTCTTTTAGCATAAAATAAGCTTGCAT